ATGACCTTAGTATAGCACCATAATTCCCAAGGGTAAGGGTACTCAGGGTCATGCAGGACTTTCCTTTCCACAGTAAGTCAGCAAGATTTCAGACCCAGCTAAATCTCGCGGTAGCCCTTCGCCAGTCCCTTCTGCTAAGCACGCCGTAGTGAGCTCCACGGCTGAAGCGTCTTCAGGGTGTGGTGTAAAAGGGCTTAGGATTAGGGTTGCGGGCGATATGAACTGTGTATGATTCTGTACAAGTATATATGTACGTGTACGTGTACATATATGTATATACAAGATGTTGAAAGACATCTTTGGGTACATGGGGCTTTTAAGGTTTTGGGATAGGGGTTGCGGGTTCGGAGAACTTTGGAGCTCGGGACTTGATGCCTTGAAAGACTTCTGGGCTTAGGGTAATGCACCCTCAGAATGCTCTAATCAGTGCTTAAGGTCGAAGAGTTTAGGGGTTAAGAGCTTGGGGGTTAAGAGTTTGATTAGGGTTTAGGGTGTTAAGAGCTACCCAGACCCCTGGGTGGATCTACAATTTTCTAGACATTACCCAATAGACTCGATGGTACTGAACTGGAGGTTCTACTTTCCAGAGTTGCACTGTGGTTTGGGTATACGTACTTCTCGGTTAGCAGGAAATGCAGGAGGGATCTGTAGCAACCCTGAACCCTAAACTAAATAGTCCCCTTAAGTAGATGGAATATGTGCAATATGGGCCCAAAATCATTATACGATCCCCCATATACCCCACCCAATAATACCCTAACCCCGAAGGTTAAGGGTTATAGAGTTATGGGGTTTAGGGCTTAGGGTTTAGGGTCTTAGAGTTTAGGGTTTAGAGTTGCAGGTTTAGGGTTTAGGGTCTACCTGGACCCCAAAAGTGTGCAAAAAATTGCCTTTATGGCTTTTGTTATGGGTTCAGGGCCCCTAAACCCTAAACCCTTTGGGGTTTAGGTAGGGTTGGGTTCTGCAACTGGGCTTCAGGAGCGCACCTTTGACAACAGGAGCATTTCTGACTCTCGAGTCGGGTGCAGTGCGGCCCTCAAGCTCAAGAACGACCATATGGGTTTAGGATCTAGGGCTTAGGGTTTGGGTTTAGGTTTGAGGGCTTAAAGCCTGATGCTTAGGGCTTGGGTTTAGGGTTGAGGGTTTAAGGTCTAGGGCTTGGGGCTTGGGTTTCTATCTCTTCGTGAGTCTATTTGGGTTCTGCGTTCGGAGAGACACTACATTGAATCCCATCGTTTACTTCTACATCTACATCTACATATATATATATGCATATATATATATATATATATGGGTGAGGGGGTTGTCCATAAACAGCGCTCCAATAGCTGTAGAAGAGAATAGCGCGTTTCTAGGAACCCCCATATTATATGAGCTACAGACAATATGTCGTCATGTAATTACTGGACATGGGTTCCTCGTTAGAAGCAATTACCATACATGGGTTCCTTGTTAGAAGCTATACTACAAGAGGGACCCTCATGTTCACTGTTAAGGCTCGCCCTAAACCCTGAACCCTAAACCCGAATCCCTATACCCTAAGGCTTCATAAGCCTTATCTCGGCAGCAGCTCATATTCACAAACGGATTGGGATGTCCTGAAGGATCCTCGTCTGATGTTTACTGCAAACTTTCTTTGTTAGAGCAGCCTGTCCTGGCTTAGGGTTTCTCGGGTTTAGGGTTTGAGGTTTAGGGTGGAATCCTCCTGGCTTAGAGTTTATAGAGTACCCTAAGCCCTAAGCTTCCTTTGACCTAGCTGATGATTTCCTTGACCCAAGAAGGCTTCTGTCGATATGATAGGGCTCCACTTGCACTGAAATCTTAGGTTACCTACTCCATTACTAAACCCTAAACTCGAACGTCCTCCAGGGCCAAAGCTTTTCAGCTTGGCGTTGAGGTGTAAACCATCACGCTATGCATGACTTTGTGTTCTGTATGCCCAGCACTGGCCTGAGTAGCTCAAACGCTGAGGCCTTAACTGATACGGTCGTTACCATGATCCTGCAGGACCCAACCTACCTCCAAACTACCTGGCACCATTCAGAGTTATGGTACTCTAGTAAACTCTTGCAAGACTATGAGCATCAACAAAAACACATGGTGCTTTGAGCTCTATCCCGAAGATCCTACCTGTTAACCGGCCAAACCTTAAACTGTACGCGTTTAATCCTTCATGGGCCTTGTTTCGATGACTGGGACCGATATGCTAGGGTGCAAGGTGTGGGACTTTCCGGTTCAGGGCGTTGGGGCTTCGGGCTAACCACAATGGTTTCGGTTCGGTGGCCAGGGCTTGGGTTTACGGTTTAAGCATTTCATGGTAAGGTTTTCCTCAAAACCGATAGCCAATTCGCCGTCTCGGTTCCGCACTTCCACTCAGAAGGGGCTTCCTCTAGACGCTTTGCGTGGAACCGCTGAACGTGAAGGGGGTTGCGAAGGGGGCTTGGGGTTTGGGGGAGATGAGTTGGTGTTACGGTCAGTGAAACCTTGTTGTGTGCCTAGCTTCTGCAACCTCAAACAGCCATACTTAGAAGGCTTTCAAATCTGATGTATGTGGGTTTTAATGCGGGCATTTCCAGCATCGAGCCCTTATGTTTCACCGGATCTTGCAGTGTTTAGCACAAAAATCTTCAATAAACAATCTCAACACTAAACTCTGAACCCTGAATCCTGAGCCCTAAACTAAAACACGTGACGCCAAACTCGGAATCTTAAGCCCTCAACCTTAAACTGAGCCAATTGCTTTTGAAATTGGGTTCACGTTCGCTAGGTAGGGCTGAGGTCCCATAAGCCGATAAGTGGTAACATCTTGAGAAATATGAGTAGTGTGTTTTGGTGGTTGAACCTCGTAACATCATGTTCCTTATTCAGAATACTATATCCAAAAAGGAGATATAAATCTCACTCTATTGGATAGAATAGTACCCCAAAATAGAATGCTGCTCATATGGTCTACGACGATTAAAGCAGGCTTGAGATTTGGTATGTGCACCCTTCTCTTGAGGCCCCTGATTACCAATAACGACTCCCTATTATTTCCTAACTTGCCCCCGATCTTTCAAGTATCCCCGCAAGCACCTAACGCTCCGCGTTGTGATAGTAGTTGATGCGACAGAATGTAATGTTTATAAAGGTATTGTAAAAATGGGGTAATGCACTGTAGTGTCCCAGTGTAGTACTCGGGAGTAAGCGGCGCTGCCGCTGCCATCTTACCTCAATATGCTGCCTAACTTCTGGTGAGCGCTGCACCCGGCACCCTCCACCCTAAACCCCTAAACCCTTAAGTGTGTGAAGTTTGAAAGGTGGGTGGCTGCTGTAGGGCAGTCTCCACACTGTGTCTGAGGAGAGCCCCTGCGATCCAAAGCGTATGTCGACCCCTTGCCCACTGCAACATCCTGGCCAAGTTTTTGTTGCTGTAGATGTCGCCATACATACTGCCAAATACCGCATCTGTGCCCACATGTTGGATAAAGTCCTATTTGTTATGACATTCACCCTTAAAGCCCCCTTGAGTAACAGGTATCGCAAGAGGATGGACCCGTAATGAAAGCCTATAAGGAAACTTACTGCAGGCGGGACTGACCTTACCTATCTCACCTAAAGCCTGCACCCTATCACAAAAGGTCAGGCTGCAATTTGAAGGCTTCCGCATTGTGCTGAGGAAATCCTTGTTTGGCGTACGGTTCTATCACCCCCCTCCGACCACCCTAAACAAAAAGGGAGCCTCCATAATCAAAAGGCCTCAAAAGGAACTAGAGGTTTGGGGGATCCTATGGCTCCTATTGAAATCAATAACGAAAGAGGGATCCTTCGGCTTCTACCAAATTCATAAGGACTTGCTCAGCTTAGCTTTCAGGAGAGTAGGAAGGGCAGTGGCCTGGCCTTGAAAACAAGCATAAGCAATCTCTCTAAAATCCATTAGAAGCCGAATTCAAAACAATTAACAGCAATTAAACTAACACACACACACACAAATGGGACCCACCAGATCATTTATATTATTGAGGATCCGGGGCTCTGCTGGACTACACCCTTTCGAATTTGATTGCCTTGCCTGTTCGAGTAAGTGTTAATAAGAAATGGATCTTTTTGGTGGCATCAATTTTCCAGATGCGAGAGTTAATAGAGCCCGTCCTTTCCATGTACAGGCCTGGCTTTAAAACCAAAAGCATTTTGGCTCATCAAATTTTCTCCTAGATTTTGTTCCGGCAGAAAAAGCTGTACTTTATTGAGACCCCCCCCATATCGAATAGGGTGTCCAGAATCTGTATTGGGGACCCCTAAACCCTAAACCCTGAAACCCTAAACCCCCGCACTAATCGGGATTCAACCTTACGGTTATTTAGGGGTCGACCCTGCGCGCTGACATATGAGCCTTAAACAGCTACAGCTGCCCTGGAACACCCCCCCCCCCAAAATAGGGTGGTGTTCTTAAAAATAGGGTTACCTTTTGGCGGATCCCTATAAAGAAGACAATAGTTCTTTGGGGACTGTATTGGGGCCCCCCTATGTGGGGAAACTACTATTTGGCTGTTTGAGGATGTGGACTATCATTAGCACATATTACCCTAAGGGTCCAAGTACCTAATAGCCATATACTTACCCAATACCTGCACTATAATTGCCATTACCGAAATCCCAAGTACCCAACTAATTGGGTACATGGACCCTCTGGGTTAACATTAAATCAACAACGGTTTCCAATACACATTTAGTACACTACATGGCTAGCAAATAGCGGCTAGGCTAGGTTCCAGAACCCAAAGCTCCAAGCCCCAAGCCCTAAACAATAAGCCCTAAACCCGAAGCCCCAGGCCCTAAACCCCAAACCTTAAGCCCAAACCCCAAAGCTAAACCTTAAGCCCTAAACCCTAAATCTTAAGCCCTGAACCCTAAATCTTAAACCTCAAACCCTACGCCCTAAACCTAAACCCTATAAACCCTGAACCCATAACGTTGCAGTGGCGCAGGGCCCATCTGAGCTTTACCCCCGAGGGCACTCATCAGTCGGACCTCACTTGCTTTGTGCTAGGTAAGGTTAAGGGGGTTTAGGGGTTTAGGGTTTAGGCTTTAGGGTTTAGGCTTTAGGGACACTACATGGGAAAGCTTGGAAAGCTGGTGCGTTTTAAGCTGGACCTTAGTATCTAAGGAATGCTAGTTTTCAGGCAATCGTGGTCTTGCCTTCACACTTCGAATTTGTCTGTCTGGTGAGCACCTACGCGTAGAATGGATGAATGAGAACTTGCGGGTGATATCGATGTCGGTGAGTTGCTGCCAAGAAGTTATGAATTTGGATCACCTTCAGGGGTGAAACCCCAAACTGTAAACCCTAAACCCCAAACCCTAAACCCTAAGCCCTAAACCCGAAACCCTAAACCCCAAACTTTCAAATCCTAAACCCCAAAACCTAAACCCTAAACCCTAAATCAGAAACCCTAAACCCTAAACTCCTAAACCCTAAGTTACAGGCCGCGTCAACCCTAAAGCTGAGGTCCCCGCAGGTCTATCATCTCTGCTCGGTTGCCCTGACAGGACCATCGACTCATGGCAGGCTTGGAGTTTCTTAGGTGTTGGGGTTTAGGGTTTAGGGTTTGGGGTCCAGGTTTTGGGACTATCTACCCCAAACCCTGAAGCCTGAACTCTAGGGCTCTCATCTTCAATTGAAGAGCATTCTGCTGGTCAAGCCCAATAGGGTCAGACCTTCTTTTAAGATACCATGCCAGAACTCTTCATATTGGGGACTCTAATATATCCCCCAAAAAATCGTAGTTTGTCGAAATTGTGCTTCCTTTTGGGCCTTAATATAAAACCCAACCATAAACCCTAAACCCTAATGACATTCTGGTCGTAGGGCCTCTCACCAACGCGGCCCCTACTTGCTGGAAACCCCCTAGTATGCCGCGATAATATTCGGCCGCAAAACGCTGCCTAGACTCCTTGGTCAAGAGAAGTTTAGGGTTTAGGATACCACCCTTGTTCTAGCCTACCTAACTGTCTGTCAGGCACAATATAGGGGTCTAGGTACTCCATCGTCTTTGATTGGCGACGATCAGTTCTTGGGTCCAAAGCTCAGGGCGCGGAGTGTCGATTAGGGTTTAAGGTTTCAAGTCCTGTTAGATCTCACTCAGTCCAATATCCAAACCTGAAAGCACCGTATCCCAACCGCAACCGTGACTACATTATCCCTGGGATTCACTCCCAAAACCCCAAACCCTCTACACCTTAACCCCATACCCTTGAGGCTGAATACCCCAGCCAGACATGGCACTGATTCCATCATAACCCCCAACACGCCAGCACCCTAAAACCCTGAATGGCAGCTTCAGTTTCTTTTCCACTCTCCGGATATTAACCCTTTTAAGCCTTTCAACCCTAAATAGTTCCACTCTACCCACAGTAATTCCCCTATAACTCCCTTGAAGGAATCGTACCTTTCATGTTCTTGTCCGCTCTCTCTATGTTATATCCTCTATAACCCCTTGAAAGTTCCCTAGTGAATAATAGGAATTCCCATTCTTCCGTGCTCCCTGCTATATCCCCTATATTCCCTTTCAAGGTCCCTGGGGTAGGCCTCCTCGCCGTCTTCTCCTGTCCGGTTCTCGTCCTGAGGTCGCTAGCATGCTGGCTCAACCCTAAGCCATAAACCCTAAGCCCTAGACCCTAAGCCCTAAACTCTAAGCCCTAAGCCCTAGTCCCTAAAACTAAAGCCGGATGCCAAACCGCGCAGAGTTCAGGGCTTTCCGGTTCAGATCGTGGGGGTTGTAGTTTACGGTTATCATGCGTGCATTTTGCAGTCCTGAGGTCATTGTATTACTAGCTAGCTACTATTCCTGTTACTGTTATTAATAATATTAATATATCTGTTATGACTACTGCTATCAAGATTGTCACCGCAATGATTATGATGTTCGAACCTCATGCAGCAAGCACCGTCTCGGCATTGCTCTCTTGGTGAAGATGCGGCCCCCAAGGGGGCTTTTAACCCTAATTCCAGACCCTAAACCCGGAGCAAAACACGCTAGTCTTTTTGTAGCCCTTCTTGGGGAAGTGGAGAATGCAGCGCGGGGCGTGGACGTGGGTTGCCACCCTTTTGGCACGCCAAAAATGGAAAAACACCTTTGACTATATAGGTGTACTACGAACTTGGGCTTTACCATGTGATGGCAAACATCCCCAGCAAGGTGCTGCTACAACTTTCCCAGTCGCGGCAGAGCTTTACCCCTAAATTGCTCAGCATGTATCCTGTAATCCAGTTGTAGTTGGAATGAAGGGCTACTGTTGATTTGCAAGCTTATCGTCCATCTTAAGTAGATGCAACTGTTTGGCCTTCTTTCAGTAAACCCTCAACCCCAAACCCACCCAAAAGGAGGGTTAGAGTATGGCTCATTTGGTTATAGCCCTTAACACTAAACGCCCCGCGGCCACCCGGCCCCCACTCCCCAGAGGGTCAACGGCCTTGACGGCGGAAATCGTCGACCAGGAGCAATCCTCACGGGCCGGTAAGCAAGGTTCGATGCTCGCAGTTTAGGGTTTAGGATTTGTTTTGCGGAGTTGGGGCTGCAGGGGGTCGAGGGTTCAAGGGTTCAGGAATTCGGGGTCTGGGGGTATTAGGGGTGTACGAGGCAAAATAGATACACATAATCATGAGAAAACTTCTGCCAAAACCCAATTCAAAACGCTGAGTCCCACAGCCCACAACCGACACACAACAGCAGGCCCATCAGAACGAGGATGTGGTCTAGAGAAAGGCCAAGCAAGGCTTCAGGAGTTGTCGCCCTTAACCCTGACACCCAAGCTGCAAATCCTGAAGCCCAAACCTCAACAACCATGCGGATCCAAATGGGCCGTGTTTATATAAGTGTTGCTGCAGCCTATGTACGGCCGTCAACTTGGAACGCTCAAGAAACCGCGATTCTTGGAGGGCTGTAGTTAGTGTGAATTCTTCCAATGACCTTGGCAAAATGCATAAAGGATCTACAGAACGAACTCAAAACCATGCTGACTAGTCCGCTCAAAAGTAAGGCTTTATGTGACTGGATGATCGCACAGGCGTCTCGGGTGATCGAACTAAGTACGGCTGGGTTCCTCTTCTCGGCGACTATGACAACACATAGGAGAATGTAATCTCAATTCTCTCAACTCCAATATTAGAGTGCAGATAGCTCTGAACTTCAATCCTGCCGTTAACCCAGAACTCTGACTGCTGTGACTGTTTAAGCGTTTAAGCTCCTACCATAAGCTTTAATTTGCCCCTACAACACCTAAACCCAAAACCCCAACCCTGTACCCTAACCTGGCGAGAACTGGTAGCTTCCCTTGATAGGGCGAACCCGATATAGACCCCAAAATACTTTAAACCTCGTTCGGGGATCCCAAAAAGCTACCCTAAACCCTTTGAGACCCCTTAAACAGTACCCCTAGTTTTGGGAAACCCCGAACTTGAGCCATAATGAGCAACGAGGGCACACTTATTAAACCCCTCGTCAGCTCTGCATGGGTCTCCTACTTACTGCCCCCTCTATACTGCCACGCCATAGGTTTAGGGTTTAGCGTATCGGAGTTCCCCATTATTTTCAAACCCTAAACCCTAAACAGGCATCCCATGACCTCAGCAAAACACTATAAAAGCTACACACGGGCTGAAGTCTACGCTAGGCCCTCCACTCCTAAACCCAAGTCCTAAGCACTGGGCGGCTCTGGCCCTCAAGCTTCACGTTGGAGGGTTTAGGGTTTAGGGGTTTGGGGTTTAGCTTTTTTGTTTATGAGATTTATGTGCGCTGTTAAACTCCTTACACCAAGAACCTGTATTTTGGTGCCCTTTTGAGGGCCTTTTTTACCCTAATGTTTAAGCTAACCAAAAAGAAACCACCTTGTTGACAAACCCCCAAACTCTGAACTCTGGGAGGAGCCTCATTGAAGACGATCGCTTCCACCAGGTCCTCGTCGCCCCGAAGCGTGTCGAGGATGCCCTGCGTTAGACTTACTCGGGCTTAGGGTTTTAGGGTTTAAGGTTTTGGGAGGTTCAGGGGGAGTTGGGGATTTATGGTTTAGTTTCTTTTGCAGCGCCTCTTTCGACCTTGCAGCGAGATGCTTTTACCGGTAGACAACGCATGCATGTCCCCTTATACCATCTTTACCGGGTTTAAAGGCTTTCACCGTACAGTTTGGACCTTGGTTGGGGTTTAGGTTGGATACAGCCCCCACCCTGTAAGCATCCGCAAGGACTGCCATGTATGCATGTATGTATGCATGTATGTATGTGTATACAGTGTATATATATATATATATATGTATACACAGCGCTTGAGATGTGCTAGGATTTACTTACATCTACGGAGAAGCAGAGAGAGGAATCTTATGTCAACTCGTATGCTTTCGCTCGGCCTTACTTCCTAAACCCCTCCGGGAAAGAAGACCTGCTCTTTTTGCCAGGAGCTCCAATTAACAAACAGGTTCTGGGTTTAGGAACCACCAGGTTTGGGGCTACATCTTCACTGAGATATCTACCCCGCCCAAAACAAGAACCTGTCTTAGGCTCATACCCAACTCTTCGAATGTTTTTGAATAACGAAATGGTGCAATAGTGATGTGATTGCCGCCAAAGTACGTACCCTGAGTGTTGAGCTTGTGTTCCAGGGGTCTCTAGACCAGCCTGTGCTAGAATGCCAACCCTACAGTCCAAACTCTAATGTAGGAACCTAAATGTTTTTGAAGTCTATTTGAGGTGCCACTATACTTATACAAGCCTAGGGCCAGAGTTTGGGATTTAGGCTTCTACAGTACACCCAAATGAAAATCCGAGACTGTGAGCCTGAAACCCCATTTTCTGAACTGTTGGATCGATTATCACAACACGTCCAAGTAAGCGAAATAATGCCGTGGGAGGTAAATCTCTATATAATACGCTCCGGCCGCACATCTTTAGACACCCCCTCCTCTATCCCAGGATTCTCGTCTAGATCCCTGCTGTTGATGGACCAATTTTGCATGGTCCTGTAGCACAGCACTTTTAATTTGAAAGTATGCTATTATCGTATACAAAACCTAAAGCCCAGACTAAAGCCCAGACCCTACTTGTGCCTGGGCAAAGGGATGCAGAACGACGTCGTCCGGTCTTAACGCAGAACCACAGACCTCACTGCACTAACTAGCGCTTCAGGGACCCCTATAAATCCTAAACGCCCACACCCCTAAACACTTACTGGCGCTTTAGGGTTTAGGGTTTGGGGGCTTTGGGGTTTGAGCCTTAGAGGAGTGAATGTACAGACTTAAGGTTTAGGGTTCAGGGCATCCCCCCTTGAGCACCCGTGAGAGTCACGGGCATACTCAATTCTAGAGGGCTTAAGAGGGTGTTCATCACTGGAGTAGTTAATATAAATAAGTCGGTAGCAGCATTTGAAGATTGAAATATGGTCACTATGTAGAATATTGTTCAGTTGTCCGGTACAAAGGAAGACAGCGCTGATCATTTTAGGGCGCCCAGATTCTAAAGGGTTGAAGTGTTTAGGGTTTACCTAAACCCCAAAAGTATGTGAAATAAAATGAATTTACATACTTTTGGGGTCCAGGTAGGGCTTAGGGTTTAGGGTTTGAGTTGAGTGGAGGAGGCATGAGCGGCTTCAAGATCTAGAACTTCGGATCGCCAGCCTACCACAAGAGAACCACGATGATGGCAATCAGAAACAACAAGGATAACAGCCTTAACAGCTACTGTTGCTTATCTTGCCGCTACTAACACAAACACACACGACTGGTTGAAGACGAGCATACCACCAGCTATCATGCACACCATCCATGACTCGTCATGGGCGCTTGGAGCCCAACACCGCCCAACACCCAAGGTATCTTAAAAAGCCTCAAATCATACTGGGGATCCCTGCATGCACCTAAACCGTAAAGCCTTAACCCTAAACCATAAAATCTAGACCCTCAACCGCAAAACCTTCAACCTTAAAACCCTAAAACCTAAACGCTCAACCTTAAACCCTAAAGCCTAAGCCCTAAATCCTCAAGGTATGAGGCTCTCTGAGCAGACCGGGACTCGGGCCGGACAAGTCCATCGCTTATCGAGAGACCTCATCCTCTGGTTCACCGCAATATACCTCGAAAAGCTCGGTCCAGGGGTTTCTAGTCCCCCTGAATTAGGTAGAGTATAGGGGTTATATTGGGATAATGGAAAAGAAAATGGAAACTACATACTCTTTAGCGTTAAGGGTTTAGGGGTATAGTCCCCCTTAAGTAGATAGAATATGGCTTTGGGTATATTATAATAACCCATATATCCCATACTTCTTTCTACTTAAGGGGGGCTATAGGGTTTAGTGGTTTACGGTAGGGATGTACAGGCTGCTGCGAGATGATTGTGGCGTTTGGGGGTGCGTTGAAGCTGGGGGACCTCTGTGAAAGTTACTGTCTTCCTTGACGTTGCACTTAAGCGGGCAAGAAGGAAGGCATATGTGGTAGCTTGCTACCATCTCTGTGCCACAACCATGTGACTTGCAACAGGCATTTTAGATGGACCGTGGCAGGAAGCCCCCAAATGACTGCAGGAAGAATCCGGAGCTTCCTGGAGCTGCAGACTGAACTCCCCATGCTGTCCACGCAGACCCTTGGGAGGATCTAGAAAGTAGGTTCCCATGCGCCCTAAAACCCTAAACCCTTAAACTCTAACCCTAGCACAGGGAACATTATTAGGGATCCTCCAACATGTCTGGTGGAAGGCACCTTGTGCAGAGTCGACGATGCGGTTGAGAATTTAGGGTTTAAGGGTTTAGGGGTTAGGGTGTAAAGGTTTAGGGTTTAGGGGTTAGGTTTCAAGGCCTAGGGTTTAAGGCAATTGCACGGTCCCACAAATGTGAATGCTGCACAATCTTATCCGTCTACGCTGACTGGATAATGTCCCCGCAATACATTGTAACCCAAGTCCTACACTAATTCCGAGACCTTCGCAGCGTGTGTTTTGATGGTTGAACGAAGTACGGATATATAGAACACAATACCCTAAAAACTAAACCCCAAAACTCAAAAGGAGGAGATCATCTTACTTGTTTATTAGGTACCGTGCCAAACAAAATGCTACTCCCCTCAGTTTCAAGGTCTGAGGCATGAGTGACGGTTGAGGGCTTAGGGTTTAAGATTTAGAATTGAGGGTTTAGGATTTAGGGTTTAGGGTGTAGGGGTCCCTAAATTGACTAACCCTCACTAAAATGGGAAAAATGAGATGGAAAACACATGTATGCTTAGGTACCCCAGGAACGGAAAATCAAAAGACAAAGACTATGGACAATAAATGGAAGCTGTGATTATATAGCGGATTTTAGTGGAGAATGCTTTCCCCATAATCCCTGGACACGGGGTTCTATCAGGCAATAAATTAGCGACTATACTAAACTACCAAAGGGGGCCCCTCTGTCCACCCTTAATTGATGATCCCTTGATAACCCTAATAATGACAGTAGATGTATATCTGACGCTTGCAAAAAGTTATATAGGGATCATAGGGGATACGTAGGGATATATAGGGTTTAGGGTACAACATATTGGTGGGGCCCTATGCTTCTGGAACCGCCATACCAGTAAGTCTGAAACCCCAAGCCCTAAGCCCTACCGGTGGCGCACGCTTGAAGGTCGAAAACCTGGATATGGTGGCAATCGCGACCGATTGCTGCTTCCTACAAGATGCACCAAGTCGGGAATTTGGGGACATCTGGAGGGCATGTGGGTGTAGAATGTACAGGGTTTGGGTGTTTGCAAGAAGGTCCCTTGTTGAGATATTCGCACCAAGCATCACACTGTATTTAAGAGAGAACTCTACTTGGGGAAAATGAAGGCCCGCATAAGCTTGAGGGCTTTGAGTTTCTCCACTAAGCACCGTATAGTAGGATGGGGTTAGATTTCAATCTTTCCTGTGCAAAGTTTAGAGTTTTGGGCTTACTGCCTTGGCACCTTTCGAAAGCGGGAGGGCTCGATGAGCAGGAGATCTTTGGCGCTAATGGACCTACATAACTACATGGTTCCTATATAACCCCATACAATCCCTATATAGTTCCTATATAACCCCTATATAACCCCTGCATAGTTCCTATACAAACCCTAAGCTCCACAGCAGCAGCAGCCAGTGCCTGAGCCGGTGGTGGGGAGAAGCAGCGTTGCTTGCTCCACCAATCCGCGCGCCATCATGCTAACCCCAACCCCTTGAATGATCCAAAAAATGGACCCCCCTCATAATCCCCGAGTGTCCCCAATGTAGTAACATTGAGGGGTGGATTCCCTTCGTAATCCCCCTAAGCAATCTCGGCTTTACCCCGTAAACCATACTACCCTTTTGCGTGTAGGGTTCATGCAACTTTAGTAACTACCTATTACGCTACTTAGAATCCCCCTACATGCCCTGATTATGTAGGGTTGTAGGCCCAGTTCTAGTTAATTGCTAAGTCCCATGAAGCTCCAAGTAAACACCGACAATTGATTCCTAAAAGCTGGAACCTAGCACTACAAGGCCATGAACACAACCTAAGCAACATGGAATCCTATAGCTCTCCTTTTGGAGGGACAACTGTCTTTGTAGGATCCTTTTGGATATGTCACTTTGAGGAGGATGACTCCTGAAAACCTGGAACATTTGGCCCAAAATCCTAAAGCCTACACCCTGAACCCTGAAGCCTAAACCCTGAACACGAAACCCTAAATGCTAAACCCTCAACAACTCTAACCTCAACCCAACGCCTCGATGGGGCAGTGGGACACTGGACAAAGCGGCCTCAGGCATCTCAAGCAATTCGTTCAGGGTTTGGGATTTGGTAGGGTTTAAGGTTTAGGGTTTAAGGATGTTTAAGGTTTAGGGTTTAGGGTTTAAGGCTTAGGGTTTAAGGTGTGCATCAGTGGATGCGAGTGGGGTGTGCTATCTTTCTTTAGGGTTAGGGGCGCGCACCCTGTTGCATGCTTGCGCAGCTTCCCGAACAATGCCCATTCAGGGTTTAGGGTTCCTACTCCTCAAACCTCCCTAGCAAGGGGGGCTTCCTTGTTCTTTTCCTCCCCCATCTGTTGTGCACTCCTCATCACGCCGCCGCAGAGAGCACTCTCAAGTTTCAGAAGTTCAGAGAAAAGGATTTAAGCAACGCGTAGGGGTAGCGAAGGCTTTGGCCGGCCTCCACACGTGGATCTATGTACGAATCAAGCCTACGAAGCCTTTACAAATGCAGGACTTAGAAAATTCCTGAAATGCCGGGCTGGAGGGTTGAAGAAGAAAGGGTCTCAGAGGGCCCCTGGAGGCCCCTAGAGGCTCCTGCAGTCCCTGGAGGCCCTGGAGGCGCCTGGAGCCTTGAGAGGCCTAAAAGCTGGACAAGGTTTGGAGGAGCCTCCGGGCCAAAATCCTTTCTATTTTTGCTCAGGATTTAGGGTTTAGGGTTTGCTTTCCTCTGCAAACCTTCTCTCACTGCAATTGAACCTCAGGCCTGTTTAGGGTTTAGGGGTTTAGGGTTTAACCGCTCTACATCCCGAAATGCACGCCCGCCTTTGCCCTTGACATCCTAGATCCGAGGCCATATTTCCAAAATCCTTAAACCAAATCCTAAATCCTTAGCCCTGTAGCCCCTAAACCCCAAGACTCCAGCCCTAAGCCCTAAACTTGAAACCCTAAACCCCAAACCCTAAACCCTAAACCCAAATCCTAAGCCCTAAACCCTAACTCCTAAATCCTAAACCCAAAATCCTAAAACCCAAACCCTAAACCCTAACTCCACTAAACTCTAAGGATCTGGCTTCAGAGTCCGTCCGAAATTGCCGGTAACTGCGCACTCGTCCTCGTCAAGGGAAGGGGGCTCGCAAGACGGCTTAGGGTTTTAGGGTTTAGGGTTTAGGGTCTAAGGTTTTAAGGGTTTAGGGTTTAGGGTTTTGAGCTCAAAGTTTGCAGGGCTTAGGGTCTAGGGTTTTGGGGTTTTGGGTTTAAGGGTTTGGGGTTTTGTGGTTTTGGGTAGTGGTCATCTGTAACTGGGGCCCCTGAACCATGAACATCTGCTGCTGTGCTTGACTGGGTTAAGCAGGGATTTATTGCAGTGTTTAGGACTTGGTTTAGGTCTGAGGTTTGGGGATTTCAAGAAAATAGGGGCACCGTTTTGGGATCTCCTCTTCTCGTATATTGAGGTCTCTATAAGCACCCCCTTTATGGGATCTTTCATGCTGAGGGCTCCGGATTTAGGTATGAGGGTTCAGCGATCAGGGTTTAGGGATGATGGCTTAGGGCTTGGGGTCCCTAAACCCTATAATGGGATTTCTAATCCTTCTTAGGGGTTGTTTTGGAATATGCTAAGAAAGGTGCATTTACGTCATAGCGTGTGTTTAGGACTCGGTACTAGGCGTTAGCGTTCATACCCTAAACCCTGAACCCTAACCCCTATAAGCCCTAAACCCTGACCCTAGCTTGGAGTCCAGGACTCATGCGGCCAGAGCTACAAGCAGGAAGTAGCCTAGCCTACTAGGGGGTCACTGTGGCCTAGTGGATAACCTACTAATGGGCTTACTTATGGTTTACAATGGTTAGAAGTATACCCCTAAACCCTAAACCCTAAACCCTAAGTAAGTTTGCTGACACTTCAAGTAGAATGAACCGCTTAGGTCCAAAGCCAGGTGCAGGGCAGCATAAGCTTCTGCATATGCGGCCATGCTTTCTGCAATGTAGGAAAACTTCAGTGATTAACTGTACTCCTTGTACTCCTATAGCTAAGCCCTAAACCCTAAGCCTTAAATCCTAAACCGTGGTGTTTTGCTAGACATCGCTGCCGAGACTTCTCAGTTGAAAGCCTGATCCGATTGACGCCGTGTGATAAGGCCATTGACTTCTGAGTGGCTACTTCGAACCCGAAAGCCTAAGACCTACATGCTAAACCCTACATCCTCAGCCCTGAACCCGAACACCTGTATCCTAAGCCCTCAATTCTGAACACTAACTTGGGATCTCAAAACAGGCCCTAGAAAGACCATGCAAACAAGGGTTTAGATGGTTCCATGTGAGTTTGTGGCGCGGGTGCTAGCGTGGCAAAGCATTCCTCAGGTAAAAGCTGGTCCTTCCCCTGGTACAGGGCTTAAGGAACCTTGGAGTTAGGGTTTAGGGTTTGAGGCAAAAAGCTGCAACCGAAAAGCCTGAAGCCTAAACCGTGGGGGATGCTTTCGTTAGCTTCGTTCTCTAGGACGTTGAGGTAATGAAGCTGCTTTGGCAGTCTCACTTTGCTGCTGAAGCGTGCAGATGAGTAGATCATGACTCAAAAGAGTGTACTCCTTAATCACCCTAAACCCTAAACCCTGAACCCAATTATGACACGGGCTCCCAACATGGGACCCCGAACTTTGGCAGGTGACATGTGCTGGTATGTGCGGATATGGCTGGGCCGGCTTGTTGTCTCTCAATCATGTGAGCTGTAGTCTAAACTCCTTCAAAGGGGACTATATAGGGGGTTATTTCGGGGACTACTATAAGGGTTATTAAGGGGGATGCTAGGCGTTTAGACAGTGGTTCATGTGGAAGGAGTTCAGGGCCACGTTAAGGGATACTTCTGGGGGTTGGGCCTAAACAGCGCGAGATGGTTAGCCTAAACCCTGAACCCTGTGCTAAAAAACAGGGCTGCCTAAGGGCAGGGGGAGATGTGCGTCAGATAGGTTTTAGGGCTTAGGTGTTAGGCTGAACGATTGTGTACTTATGCCGCCAACTACTGTACCATCAGAAGGCATGGTGACAAAGGCAAACAGACCCTGCAAGTCATGCTGCGGCTAGGATGAACATAGACCTTTTAGCGATGAATTCAACCCTAGGCCCTACACCCTGAACCCTAAACAAACCCTATAAACCCTCATCCTGCGATGCATTCTACTATCATATCTAGTGTACAAGATAATGGGAGACTGTGGATCCTTTGCCGCAACTTTCCGATCAAACGCTGGCTCGCACGTCGCACGTGTTGGGGCCTAATTGTTTGAAAGAGGGTGATGTATAGGGTTGGGGGGGGCCTCATTAGACCCTAAACCCTGAACCCTAAACCCTAAAATGGGGAGTCAAGTGGACAAGAACTTGGGAAATGAAATTGAAGCTGGCCTCCTAGGGGCCTAGGGGTTTACATAGTGACGAAATGTAGGAGCCCAAAAGAAGAACAGTCCTTCAGGGGGGTTATATAAGGGAATATGTAGGGGGCTACTATTATATGGGGCTATTAAGCGCACATGATACTAGAGTCTAGCTATATGAGCAGCCATCTTGCATGCACCTTTTAGGTCAAACAACACTTGTGTAGATTTTCAGGTTTGGGCTTAGGGCCTCTATGGACCCCAACCGTAGAAGTTGGCTTTTGTGTTCACGGCAGGCGTAACGTACTTTATGGGTTTAGGTTTTAGATGTGCAGCTTTAAGCTATTCGCGGAAAAGTCTCTGGTATTGTACTGCATGTCTCTGATGAATCAACATCTGCCTCAGCCAAGTGAGAAAGCTCACTTGCCGCCAGGGGACATGGCAGAAAACCCTGCACCCCCAAACCCTGAGTAGAAGGGTGAAGAACCTGAAGCCGGTGGCACTTGAACCCTAAACCCTAAACCTTAAACTTGTGGTGCTCAAGAACATGGGCTCAGCTTCATGACTGCCCTTCATAGCAATTGTAAATGCGGCTGCGGTTTAGGTTTAGGGCTTAGGGTAAGAAGAAGTGAGCCCAGACCCGTGATTCATAAACCCCCTCCCCCCAACAGAGATTATAATAGGGATCCAAAAACTAGGGCCCTAAAAAGGTAAAAGGAGGGGGCGTATTAATCATGAGTCTCCATTACCCTGCAGGTGTCCTCCTGTCCAGCCTCCATCTTGGCAACCTGTCCGCAACAAAGCTACTGGTTTCAGCTTGTGAGGCTAACGCGGCTCCGTGGGGTCCTTTTACTTTCTGGGACCCTGGAGTTACTCATCGCTTAGGGATCCGGCTTATAAAAGTATAAAATAGGTTTGCGAAGACCAAGTGTCACCTAACTCCAGGGTCCCTCAAAGTAGGGCCTATTAGCATCACAAAAAGCACAGGGGCCCTCTTGGTTTCAATGGTTTAGGGTTTAGGGCTGGCGGCCTTCAACAATCTATGATAATCTATGAAAAGGCTCTGGTCTACTTTGATCGGAAAGGGGGCCCCTGTTTTGAGACATAGCCATGTGCACCTAGAGGTCTTGATGCTCGGACAGAAAACCCTTGGGTACTGCCCCGACCCAGTAACAGTGTACAATAGGGGTAATACAAAGGGCCATGTAGCTAGTTATATATATATAACTGTGTATTTCTTATCCAAAAGTTGCTCAGTGGGGGCAGTACCCAAAGAAAACCCCTGGTGAGACTCGTAATTGAGATTACAGAAGCCTGCTGCAAGCAGGCGGGAAGACCCTGTTCCTGGCCCTGAAGGTTCACGGATAGTTCTAAGTGGGGCTGTAGTAGGCTATAGGCTTCTGTTTCCTAACTTAAGATGTGAGATATAACTACACGGCTTCCGAAATTCCGGCACCCCACTCTTATCCACCAATGAGTCCTCACGCATGGCGAAGCCAGAAAACTTGCATCACACTTGTCCTGTCAACCGTAAACCCTAAACCGGGTTGCTGTTAGAGAACTTAAGTTAAGTTACTATCACAAGGAACGTATGTTTATTATATACCCATATTATGGTAAAAACGCTTAATTTCCTTAACAGCAACCCCGTAAACCGCGTTTGCAATGATCATCCTCATCTCCCCCATTGATATTAGACCCAACGTCGGAATTTCCAAAACTTAGCACCGTTCACAGGAGTTACGCCAAATGTGTTGGTGCGCAGTCTACCATAGCCATATAAGGGAACTACAGCAGCCTACAATATGCCCTGGAAGAGAGGCGCATCCAGGTTTTTGCCAGATCCGCTAATTACTAACACTGCCGTATCAGTCTCTCAGAAGTCTTGAGAGCCCATATGAACTTGTTGAAGAAGTACGGCGGATGCTTTGAGAGGTTCTTGAAACGACTCTGTGATCGCGGAAACACGACACTCCATGCTCCGAAGCGTGATGAAGACCACATTACTGGGCTGCTGTTAAAGAACTTAAATCAAGTTACCATAATGGGTATTTATAGTAAATAATAGGGTTTCCCCAATATAGTAACTTAAATTAAGTTCCTTAACAGCAACCCAGTAATGGCTACAGCAGTCAGCACAAAAAGCAAGAACGCAGCCGGCAGCCCACTTAGCATCAATCTGGCAGGATTTGAGCATTTACACGCTGTGGATATTGCCTTCACGCCATCACAATCTCCAATCTTCTAGTTGAAGTAGACGCAGCCCGTTGATGCTATACCCAACACATGCCCCTTACATGAGCTATACTCCAAACTCCTAGTATCCCCCTTATAAACCGTATAATACTCCCCTCTATAATCCCCCATATATCCCTATATAATCCCGACACAAGCCCCTTGAAGGAGTTTAGATTATGGGTCACATGACCTCCATTGCCTGACAGCCTTGCATTTATGTGGACCCGGACACTGCTTGCTGAATCGATATTGCGAGGCGGATCACCATCTTGCTCTATTGATCATGCTCGTCTCAATATCCCTAAGGGTCCAAGTACCCAATAAACATATACTTACCGAAAGCCTGTACTATAATTCGGTATTACCCTAAACCCAAATATCTAATTATTGGGTACTTGGACCCTCTGGGTATATTCTCGAATCTGATATTCTCAAATCTGGCATGGAGCAAAAATCGTTCATATTCTTTTCGCACTCGAATGTACATTATCAGGTCAAGATTTTCGGCTGGAACTTCCAATGTGTTCCAGCAGCGGCTACACATTAACATGAAAAGTAAAATGGATGATAACAGAGCAATATTCTCAAAAAAAATCCATTCCGTATTCCTTAGGTGGACACCCAACCCAGTAATAGTCACTATGAGGGATAATGATGATTATATTCGGGTCCTCATATATTCCTAGCATACCACTATTACAGGGTGGGGAGTCCTCCTAACGTATTCCCAAATTACCTCATCACCACAGACACCTGAGCCAGCAGTCGCTCCACTCGCGCCCTTCCGGAACTGACGGTCTCTTGTGACCTGAAGCGCCAAGACGGCTTGAAAGTGAAACTGGATTCCAATCCACCCTCCAACTCAGTACTGGCATTGTGCATCTCTGCAATTGAAAATATTTCACCTTAACACTCTGGTTTCAGAATGGTGTGAAGAAGCAAAATTGGAATCCGCTTCACAATCAACTTCAATTCTGGGATCTGTTGGGTTGCTTGGGCGAACGGGGGCGTCGTCATCTCACTTGGAGTCTCCTTGGAATTCCATGACCACAGGGGCAGTGCAGGATCTGAGACTACCAACCGCAGGGTGAAGGCTTCCGGCATCTCCAGGGATCTCCGAGCAGCGTGGGTCATAGAAACCACGGTCTCCGCAGCTTGTTTCGATGATTTCTGGACATCTTGAGTGCAGCACCATGCCTCATCATGAACCCAGCATTCTTGCAGAAAGAATCTCGCGATCGCTGCCTGACTGCTTCTTCATTCCGTGAATGCCCACAAGGAGCCCATTGCCCTTGCTTGGGTCCCCATGTCCATCGCATAGTCCATGTTTGAGAACAGCCTTGTACCAGTTCCCATGCCAGCTCAGTGCATGTAGCAGTCAACAGGCAGCCCGTGATCGGGTCCCGCCCGAGGCAATGCCTCTCGGTTCATGTGCTTCGCACCGCCATTTCACGCATTCAGCTGGAGGGCCTCTCAGAAGGGACATCTGCCACACAGGCATTCCAAAAAATGGGTCTCCCTACAACCTTCACCATGGGAAGCCGCGTGTGATTTCTGGAAACCTCCCATGCACTGGTGCCTGGACTGCTCCGCTAGAATCACTTTTCCACAAACAAGTGCAAGGGAAATGCCACTTTTTGTGGAGCTGCGGCCTTGCAGAGTCATTAGTCGGGCTTTGGCTGCACCAACCCTCAAAGTGAGGGCCCTATAACGATCATCAAAAACTGATCGTGTCCGATATACCCCTGTACCATTGACCTTCAATACCTAAACCCGTAGACCCTAAACCCCTAGACTTCTAAATCCTACACTCAACTCAATCTGGCAAGAAGGTGCGGTGTATGCGTTGAAGTCTAATCTAGTGCCACCCCAACGCAATGCACACTCGTCCTTTAGGTGGATCCCCCCACCCAGTAAAAGGGACATAAGGGATAATAAGGATAATATTAGGGTCCTCTCTTATAGTCCTCCATACTATACCACTATTAGAGGGTGGGGGGTCCTCCTAACTTGCCTTGAAAGGAAAGCCTGTCAGTCCCCAACAAAGGACTGGCAGAGTCAAAGGGGTCAAAAGCACCGCAAAAAAAAACCCTAAACCCTACACCCCTAACTTCCTAAGAACCCTCCAAACAGTTTGGACGCAGGTTTAGGAGTGGGAAGCCACAAGAAGTCCCATTTGATTGCCTGTTAATGAGGCCTTTAGAGTCCAGGGCGTAGGGGCCAGACTACTTAACGCAGGATATTTGCAGGATATGTTCAGATGTTCATATCTGAGGAGAAATGCCACAGGAAAATATTCCTCAGTATCTTGTGGCTTGCCAGGCTACTACTTATGTCAAACCTGGATTTTGAATAGATAGCGGGGTAGATTGCCCAGTATCAACGTTGATGGTAATCATGATGTAAGAAAGCACGCCTGTTTTTGCTACAAAGTCGTTGAAGACTTGCAAAGAAAGCTGGAATTCCAAACTGTTCCGAACCCGTCATTAAGCGCCGGAGGATGAGCGTAGTGTAGCCTGGACGGGTGTGGGAGTTTGAGGTCTAGAGATCGATATCTTCCAAAGAGGAGGGTGCTTTGCCAATTTGCTGCTCTGGGGAGAATGTGTGGAGGTCTCTATTCTTCTGACTGCTAGGTAGAGGTCTCCAGGGACCAGAGGGACGGAACTGTCCGCTACACCCTTGAACCCCTTAACCCTCATCAAGCCCTGAACCTTGGATTTAAGGTTTATGGATACCTTTTTAGGGCTCTAGCCCCTTCATCAGCTGCTGCATAATGCAGCATGTCCAGTACACAGTTAAATTGAATACCCAGCCTCCCCAAACTGAGAAGGACAACCATCTGTCTAAACCAAAGGACATACACAGTTGTAGATGTATCATATGGGGTTCCGCAGTTGTTGAGGGAAGCTTCACTAAAGTGTGTAGGACCCTAGCCCCATCTGACAAACCCTAAGCGCTAAATCTAAACCCTAAACCCGTAGCTCCAAGCCCGCGCATGAGCTTCAAATGTCCGATCAGCAAAGCGCATCGGCTGCACTTCGCTGCTGAGCGATCGGCGCTCTCTGAGCAATCAGCCCGCTCAAAACTCCTCAACGCTAAACCCTCTTAAAACTCCTCAACGCTAAACCCTCTTGAAACTCCTCAATGCTAAGCCCTCTTAAAGCTCCTGCTGAGCAGGCTACGACGGGCTTAGGGTTTCAGAAGCAGGCTACGAAAGGGAAGCTCTTGATTGACCTTACCAGGAACTCCCATGGCTTCAGGGCTATGCACTGAACTTTAAAATTCAGTCTATGTGGCACTGAGGACCCCTGCTAAGGGTTAATCCTTAGTTGCCTATACTAGGAGAAGAAGGGAATCCCAAAGGGTTAAGAACCTAAGGTCCAGGCTAAGTCCCAGTTTAAGCATCGTGTTAAAGAGGTTGCAAGGACTGACATGGTTCATACAAGGGCTATGAAGGGTTTAGGGACAATCCCTGCGTTTTGGGTGTCTGCTTGCTTGGTTAGGATAGTGCGGCAGTCAACCTCTCTGTCGCCATGATTCT